CTACTACTACTACTACTACTACTACTACTACTACTACTACTACTACTACTACTACTACTACTACTACTACTACCGTCGCCGGCGCTCGTCTCGGGACCAGGGGCGGCCGTCGCCGTCCGTGCCGCCCGTCGCCGCCGTCACCGCCGCCGTCGCCGCAACGTCGCCGCCGCCGTCGCCGCCGGGCACCACATAGCTTGCTTGCACCATAGATATGATCAATAGTAGGCGTAGTAGTAGTAGTAGTAGTAGTAGTAGTAGTAGTAGTAGTAGTAGTAGTAGGTAGTAAGTAGTAGTTAATAGTAGTAGTAGTAGTAGTAGTAGTAGTAGTAGTAGTAGTAGTAGTAGTAGTAGTAGTAGTAGTAGTAGTAGTAGTAGTAGTAGTAGTAGTAGTAGTAGTAGTAGTAGTAGTAGTAGTAGTAGTGGTCGGCGACGGGCAGCACGGCCCGCAGAAGCCGCCCCTGCTCCCGAGATGGTAAAGCCGAATCAGAAAACCCTAAGTGCAAGCATCTTGAAACACTTACACGAATGCAGGGTGGATCGGTTTCAAAATGAGGCACTTCAGATGTCCTCCAGGCCTGTTCCAAGATGCGCTGCAGTTGAACAGATGGGGAGCGGGTCCGTTTTCAAAATGTTGCTGGAGATCGGTCTGGTAGAAGTTGCAGCGTAAGCATGCGTGACAGTGGCGCAGATAGAGAGCGGCTCATCTTCAAAGCGGGGCTGTCGCTTGGTTCCTCGTTGCATCGTGTGATCGTACCTCTTGACGTCTCTGAGGCCCACGCATGGAAGACGGTTCATGTTCAGTATGGCGTCGCCTGCAAGACATGCCGATGAGTCGCTCGTCTTTCAAGGGGGCGGCCCGCGCAGTGAAGAGGGAATGCCTGTAGGGACTCTGGAGAGGGGACCTGGGACGACAGGCTGTACTGTCGCATCGGTGGCACCTCCTGGGTCAACTCCAGTTTCCTCCCCAACGTCCTCCCCCTCGCCCTTACTCACACACGCCGTCGTCCTTCCCCAAGTCTCCTCGGAATCCCCTCCGAGCCCCGCTGGGCTGCCTCTGGTTTGCCAGCGCCTGCCAGCAGGAGAGGGCAATGTACAAGAGCCAGAGGAGCACGAGGAAGGCCGAGGTCATGTGCTTGTACCTGCGAGAGGTCGGCCACATGCACGGAGCGGCCCTGAGCAAGAATGACACGGGGTGCGCGGCGTTCGAGGGGCGTCGGCGGGCCAGACCCATCGCATCGTACTCAGCGATCGGGGGGGGGGGGGGGGCGTTCTCACGTGCAGCCGAAGATGGCCAGATGGTGGCAGGCAGACGTGTGGGGGGGGCAGTGCAAAGGCCGCTCCACCGAAGGGTCACCCTTACGTGTAGCCGAAGAGGGTCAGACGGGGGCACGCCCAGTGTGGGGAGGCGGGGACGGTGAAAGTGGAAAAGGGGGGGAAGGAGAATACTCATCGGTAGGGAGAAGTAGATAGAAACGTGAAGTAGGAAGGCGTTGAAAGTAGATTGGGTTTCCGCCCGCCCCCTAAAGAGGACGGAAAAGGTGAAGCCACTCGATCATTGAAGTAGGAAGGCGCTTAAAGTCGACTGGAATCTGGGGATCCAGAAATACCTACTTTCAACGACCGATCGGTAAAATTATGGAAGTAGAAAAAGCTGCGCAATCCAGGTACTGGCCTGACCGCAAAAAAAACTTCAATGCCCAGGGAACTCCTGGCCGGTGGTCCCAAGATGGTGCAAAGGACAGGAATTGAGCAGGGACCGACCGTCCCGGCATTCCGATAGTCCTACCATGAAATGTTACTAGAACCCAAAAATGTTCTAAGAACAAAAACAACGCTCTCAGAGCATTAACCCGATGTGTTACACCGAGACGGTCTCCGCCAGAAGTGTTCCACGAACGCTTCGTGGGAACCACCAAAAAGGTTCTCAGAATCTTGTTTTTGTTCGTAAGGCTGCAGGCGAGCCCAGGACGCCTCGCCACTGCTTGAAGGAAGGGCTCCCGGGGCGGACCTGCACTGTGAATGGCGCACCTCGTCCTCGGGACCCCGGCCCCCGGGACCCCGTCTTGGAAGCCTCGGCCACGGGAGACTCGGCCCGCCCACGCGCGGCGGGCCCTCCCACTGCACGTCGCTCCTGTCTCGTCGTGCTCGTTTCTGACTGTGCTCGTTTCTGATCGTTCCTGGCCCCCCAGTGGCCAGGAAGAGGCGCAGGATAGAACAGTCAGAAACGGGAGGATCTTGGCCCCCCCAAGAGTCAAAGACCTTTCGAAGAGTTGGAAGGGAACCATGTGTACGCTCTCCTGGCCGGCCCAAAGGGCCCCCAGGACGGACCCCAGAGAGGACCACTGGAGTCCTCCAGGGCGGCCCCGGAGGCTCTCAGGAGGGGGGCTCACGGCTGCTCAGAAAGGGGCCCCCAAGACGGCCCCCGAAGGCCAGGAGGTCCCGCCGAGGCCCCCAGAAGCCCCCTGAGGAGAGACACTGCTCTTCCTCCTCCTCCTCCTCCTCCTCCTCCTCCTCCTCCTCCTCCTCCTCCTTCCAGGGAGAGGCCTCCGAGAGGCTCCCAGGAGGCCCCCCCCGGGAGGTCCACGGGCACCTCCCCTGGCCTTTTGCCCCCGCAGCTGCCCGCGGCGCGGGCGCCGGAAGGGGGGCCCCTCGCCTGGGGGATCCTCCTCCTCCTCCTCCTCCTCCTCCCTCTCCTCCTCCTCCTCCTCCTCCTCTCCTCCTCCTCCTCCTCCTCCTCCTCCTCCTCCTCCTCCTCCTCCTCCTCCTCCTCCCTCCTCCTCCTCTCCCCTCCTCCTCCTCCTCCCTCTCCTCCTCCTCCTCCTCCTCCTCCTCCTCCTCCTCCTCCTCCTCCTCCTCCTCCTCCTCCTCCTCCTCCTCCTCCTCCTCCTCCTCCTCCTCCTCCTCCTCCTCCTCCTCCTCCTCCTCCTCCTCCTCCTCCTCCTCCTCCTCCTCCCTCCTCCTCCTCCTCCTCCTCCTCCTCCTCCTCCCTCCTCCTCCTCCCTCCTCCTCCTCCTCCCCTCCTCCTCCTCCTCCCCCCTCCCCCTCCTCCTCCTCCTCCTCCCCTCCTCCTCCTCTCCTCCTCCTCCTCCTCCTCCTCCTCCGCAGGCGGCGACGGCTTCGCGGTGGGGGGGGGGGGGCACCCTGACATCCTCGCGTCGAGAAAGAATATCACGACCCGAGGGTTTGGGCCACTGTCGGCCCCTCGGGGCCCTTGCCGGCCCGCGGGGACCTTGAAAGGACGACCCGGGATGAGAAGGCTGTCCCTATAGGAAGGGCTCCAGGCCTCCGGGGAGGCACGCTGCGTGCAAAGCACACGACGTCGGATGTCTGGGCAGGAGAAGGCAGGGGCAGGGGCCAGAGGCCCGAAGGGGGTAAGGTGGAGGCAGCCGAAAAAAACCTCCTCCCCTATCAGCGCTTGCACTGAGGTCCTGGCGGATGTAGAAGGGGTCGGCGAAGGGCCGGGCGGATTTCGGTGGGCAGCAGGGCTCCTCCCCAGGTCGCAGGCGACGACGGCAACGTCGTGGAGGGAGAGAAGCGAGGGGTGGTGGAGGCGAGACGGGACAGGGATGATGATGATGATGATGATGATGATGATGATGATGATGATGATGATGATGATGATGATGATGATGATGATGATGATGATGATGCTGATGATGATGATGATGAGGAGGAGGAGGAGGAGGAGGAGGAGGAGCAGGAGGAGGCAGCCGGAGGATTTTCTTGGCATCAAGAATGGAAACCGATTGGCTGTGACCCCCGCTTTCTTCAGGCGGAGTCTCTTGCCGAGGAGTCGCCAATTGTCGCACTTGTGAGGCCTCAGCGGGAGGCCTGCACGCAGCTGAAAGCTTGGCCAGACGAGGCAGCTGGAGGAGACCGCCGCCGAGGGCGGCTAGGACAAAACGAAGGCAAGAGCTGGGAGGATGAATGCCTCACGGGAGGGCACGCTCCCAGATTGTGTGGGAATTGAGGCGATGAACTTGCCAATGCCGAGCTTCCTCTGTAAACAGCTGCGTGCGCGCAGCCAGCAGATCCCGTGCTGTAATGGGATGGCCAGCTGGAAATGAGCTAGTCCCACCAGCCCTTTGGGCGTGAGTGGTTTAGAGAGCTCTCTCTGTCCTCAACCCCCCAACTCCCCTTCTTCCCCTTCGGGGAGGGGTTTACCCCTCCCCCTACCCCCTCCCCCTGGGCCTGGAGAGGGAGTCCCGCGGGTGGTCAGGGGGGTCTTTTTCGACTCCTGGGAGGGCCAAAAAACGACGACCCTCACGAGGATTCTGGCCCCGACGGGGGGATAGAGAAAAAACCTTCTCCTCTTCTGTGAAGCCAAAATCATTGATTTTACTACGGTTTCGGCCCCATTTTGGCCTTCTGAGGGGGCAGCGCTCCTCTTCCTTGTTCTCAAAATCATTGATTTTACGAAGGTTTTGGGCTCATTTTGTCTTTCTCAGGGGGTAGCGCTCATTTGCGCTTCTGAGGAGCTCCCAAGAAGCCTCCAATAGGCCCCCCGGAGGCCCCCTGAGGCCCCAAGAGGCCCCCAAGAGGCCCCCAAGAGGCCCCCAAGAGGCCCCCTGAGGCCCCAAGAGGCCCCCAAGAGGCCCCCAAGAGGCCCCCTGAGGCCCCAAGAGGCCCCCAAGAGGCCCCCAAGAGGCGCCCCCAAGAGGCCCCCCCCAGAGGCTCCAAGAGGCCCCCAAGAGGCCCCACGAGCCCGAACGACTCACACCAGGGCGAGGGGCCCGAACGACTCACACCACGAAGAGCCCGAACGACTCACACCACAAAGAGGTTCCCGAACGACTTACACCAGGACGAGGCGCCCGAACGACTCACACCACGAGGAGCCCGAACGACTCACACCACGACGCGGGCCTCGAACGACTCACACCACGAGGAGCCCGAACGAGTCACACCAGGAGGAGGGGCAGCGCTCATACAAGCCACCACGAGGAGCCCGAACGACTCACACCACGACGAGGGCCCCGAACGACTCACACCGCGAGGAGCCCGAACGAGTCACACCAGGAGGAGGGACCCGAACGACTCACACCAGGACGAGGGGCCCGAACAACTCACACCACGAGAAGCCCGAACGACTCACACCAGGACGAAGAGCCCGAACGACTCACACCACGAAGAGCCCGAACGACTCACACCAGGAAGAAGGGCCCGAACGACTCACACCAGGACGAGAAACCCCAAACGACTCAAACCACGAGGCGCGCTTTCTCTCCCTCCTCCTCCGCCTCGTCCTTCTCCCGCTCCCCCCACAAGGAGGATGTACAAGGAGGCGGGAGGAAGGAGTAACGGGGGAGATATGCGGGGGCAGGCGGAAACACGCCTGAAAAACACGACTGTCGGCATGCGTCGCAAGAGTTGCTGTTGAGAGATGGGCTGGTGGGGATATGCGAAGCGTAAAGAATTCGGCAATTACTGTACGACACAGGCTGTACCCTGCATACGTACTTGCCGTGTCTGGGAGAGGCCACACGGAGACGGCTGTGCTGGAACCGATCTGCGCTATGTATGTCAGCGTCAACCTCCATGAAAGCCACGTCGGGGCTGGGAAAGATGGGGAGGCAGCCTGGGAAATCAGAAGCATACCCCGCCGCTTCTCCCTGGGCCTCTCCTGGGCCAGGCTTTGACAGATCTTTCGGGGGTTGAACGCACTGGGAGCGACGAGGGACCCCGAGGGGCGAACACGGGGGAAGGGCATCGGTACTCTCATGCTCCTTGGGGGACAATAGGGGGGGGACCAGCTCTGGGAGGGAAACATTGAGACTGAGTGGGCGATATATCGGCGATGAGTCGCATATTGGCCGCCGATAGCGAAGCCGCACGTTCCTGGGCGGGGTGGGCCATCAGACCCCCTATCGGCGATGCATGGGCGACTTTCGGGGTTCGACGCGTTTCCCCCTGCGCCTATCCCCCTCTAGCATTGCCCCCTGTGCGAGGCGGGGAGTCATCTATATCCAGCGCCTGGGAACCGACGTCCTGGGGACCCAGCGAGCGATGGATCCGGGTATAGTTTGGCCCCCGGGGGCCCGAATCTATCCACATCCACCGCCTCTTGAGGTCCCCGGGAATCGATGCTCCAGGCGGTGGTGAAGTATAAGTTTTGAGCAGGGACCGACCGTCCAAGCATTCCTATAGACCTACCACGAAATCTTGTTACAACCCAAAGCTGTTCTGTGAACAAAAACAATGTTCTTAGAGCATGAGCCCGATGTGTTATAACAAGACAGTCCAAGCCAGAAGTGTTCTGAGAACATCTCGTGGAAACCACCAAAAAATATTCGAGCATTCTTGGGTATAGGCCTATAGGCACGCCGGGACGCCACGCCGCTGCTTGAACAAACTCCCCCCCATCGGACCCCTGGCGTCCCCCCCTCCGGCCCCGAAGGCCAGGCTGCCCGCACTCCGCGCGGCCTCCTCCCGCCCGCGCGGGCGCCCCAGAACCGCTCGCGGCGCCCAACCCCCAACCCCCTCCCTGATGGGCAAACTTTCCACCACCACGAGCACATGTAGGACAGAGGAGAATTGAGGATGAGGAGGTCCTCCTCCTCCTCCTCCTCCTCCTCCTCCTCCTCCTCCTCCTCCTCCTCCGCCTCCGCCTCCGCCCCCGCCTCTTCCTCCTCCTCGTCCTCCTCCTCCTCCTCCTTTCTACATGTGGCAGTGGTGGTGGAAAATGGGCCGGCCCATCACTCCCCCCCCCCCGCGTCGGGGAGCGCGCCTCGGGCACGGCCTGTGAGGCGTCCTGCTCTTTTTGTCCGGGAGGGCCGGGAGCGGTAGAGGCACACAGCGAGAGCGTATAGTAAGGACGGGTGGTAAGGACGCAGGGCCCTTGGAGGCCGAAGTTGGGATTGTTGTGGCGTCGGGCGACGAAAACCCCAGTGTAAACGGCAAAGGACGGGCCGCAGAGGCAAGGACACAAGGGTACCCCAAAAAAGGCGCGCGTCCTTACTATGCGCGTTGACTGCAGGCGTACAGCCGAAGATGCGATCAAGAATCGTAGTTCAGAAACCTGGGCCAGCTTTCTGGAGGCTTTTTAGGACAGGCCTGGGCCACACTTTCTAATGTGAACACAAGAGGGGCGAACGCGCTCGAGAAACTGGGCCAGCCTTCCGGCAAACTGGATGAGAAGCACTAGCCTGGTTTTTTGTTGGAGGAGGTTGCTTAATCAGATACTGGACTGTAGAAACTCTGGAAGGTCTGCGGAGATCTTCCAGAGCTTACGCGTATGGAGGGAAACCTGCTCGGGCAAGAGCGGGAAGCGCCGCTTTCGTGCATTGGCCTCGTAGGATGATGGCGACGACAAGGCGGCGGATGACGGGGATGACAGCACCGATGACGGGGAGAGACGACAAGGCGGCGGACGACGAGGATGACAGCACCGATGACGGGGAGGGCAGCGAGGGGAGCAGGAGGGCAACGAGGAGGAAGACAAGCACAAGGACGAGGAAGAAGCGACGGAGGACCAGCACGAAGAGGAATGAAGCAAAGGAGGAGCAAGAGAGTTGAGAGATCCCCCAGAGAACCCTGAGACACGGCCATGCAACCCAAGAAACCCCCAGTAGCTCCCGAGAGGACTCCGAAAGGTCCCCGAGAGGCCTCCAGTATGCCCTTCATAGCCCAAGGAGGCCCCAAAAGCCCCCTGGGCGCACTTGGGAACCTCTTGGAGCACTCTTTGTGTCCTGTGGGGGGGCCTTTTGGGGCATGTGAGGCCCTCCAGGAGCGAGTCAAAGACGACGTGGAGTTGGAGTCCCCTCCAGAGCCGATGTTTTGAGGATGTCTCGAGCTTTTTTGGGGTTCCACGCCGCCGCCTCCAGATCCCAGCCGAGGCTGGCAAAAACTCGAATGCTACGGAGGAACATCCGAGTGCAAAAGGCTCAAGCTACTACCTGCGCGAGACTGCGCAACGCGAAGTTAGCAGCGAACGCGAAGACCTCATTGAGGCTCGCGGCGAGTGCTGGCTGAGCGCCCACTAGGAGGCCGACAGCAGAGACCCGCAAAAGCCCCGAAGGGCGGGCAGGCCAACGGCATGCGGAGGGAGTATACGTTCTCCCTCCCGCGCAGACCTTGCCCCTGAAAACAGAGAGGGACGAGCGAGCGACACACGGCATGAGAGACAGCGAAACTCCTGCCCGCTCAAGCAAGCCCCTAGCAAGGGAAACAACCACAGTACCTATACACACGCACCGTCCGCGCGAACAGCTGCAAAGCATTACGTGCGCAGGGCAAGTGCTAAGACACAGGGGATGGCCGACTCCCGTCTCCCAGCTCGAACCTAACTGCCACGGGCACAGTGCTGCAGACTCGCCAAGGGCGGCGCGCCACCGTCAAGAAGCGGAACCGCAGGCCCTAGATGGGGCCGGCTCGATTTCAGGCGTGTAGGTGTTAAAGCATTCAATAACATGACCAACATCCACCGTGGCGCCCTTGGAGCGCATATCATAGTGTGGGTGCTGACCTTTTACAAAGATAAGACCAGCCCTGCTCAGCAGCCCTGCTAGGTGGTGGCAAACGCTTGCCCCCGAGACCCCTGACTGAGGCACCAGGCGAACGGCATTTACATCTGACGCAAATAAACAACACGGAAAAATCACTACAATCGAAAGCAATGGTCTTATGATCAAGATTGTCGAGCTTCGACGCATGAAGCTTAGAATCCTGCGGGCAGCGTCCACCTCGGGGTCGAGAGCTCGCTTTGCAACCCCGAAGACAGACGACGCACCTCCAGATGCCAGACCATTGCTGCCATTGGTGACCGACATGGGAAGATCCACTGGGCTCAGGAACGATCCTGTCAACTTCCGACAGGTCCTAAGGCGGCCAGTGAAACAGCACAGAGGCGGCAACCTTCAAAGTGGCACGGGCGTGCTTGACCAGACGGTCAGCGTCCTCCAACAGGTCCGCAGGCTGCGGGTGGAGGTGGACAGCAAATTTGGCGGCCGTGTCAGCGTGTCTGTTGCCAACCCGAAGCCACCTTGCACGATCAGAAATACCTGGCACGTCGACCGACACATGGGCAGAAACCTTACTACAATTGGCCAGCGACTGCCGCTGGGCATAACACTGCAGGAAGGCTCCAGAATACATTCGCTTGGCCGACAGCTGCTCGGGCTTCGACCTGGCGGCCAACATGACCACATTACTACAATCAGAATAAACACGAGAGTCCTCGGGCCGCCTCGAAAGAACATTCGCCCAGGTGAAAGCGGAGAACTCAGCCCCTTGAAGGGTCTGGGGGTAAGGGCCCCAAACGGGAGCCCTAAACTCGGCCAGGAGCTCCCCGCCGGCATCAACCATGCGCGCCGAGCTGGCAGCGCGAGACTGCCCCCTGACAGGATGACGAGTGCAGGGGCCGTCAATAAAAAGATCGCCCCAGACTCCAACGCCAAGAGGTCGCCCGTTCGCAGGAGACAAGTCTTTCCTGTGCCAGACAAGGATGGGCCGTCATCGAGCTCACTCAAGGGCCCCGGGAAGGAGCCGGCGGGATGCCGAAAGGCTCCACTAACAAAAACAAGCAGAGCGTCAGGGTCGCCAGCCGCCTTGGCAGACAGGGCAGCTTCCACGATCCCCAGATCCACCGCCTCGCTGCGATCGGCGACAACAGGCGGGTGCCGGCATTCCCGCAGCCGATGGAATACCGCGTCTCTTTGCCCGCAGAAAGGACAATCGGGGGGAACGCAATGCCCGCATTCAACAGCACGAGCACCCGTGAAGAAAGCCTCCGTCGCGAACGCCCTGATGCGAGCTTTTTGCAAGGGGGTGGACTTCTTCGAAGGGGGGGCCAAACATTCCTTGACCACATCGTAACAAACTCTAAGCAACGCGCCCCTCTTTTCGCCAGAAACTCGCTCCAGCATCCAGAAATAGCCATCACGCACAAGCTTGGCGACCAGAGGGGGGGGGGAACAAGCCGAGGGGGATGATCTGCCCCTGGTCGTTTTCAATGGTCATAAGATCAGCCATATGCCAACCTAACTTGACCAGAGACATCCGAAGAGCCGAGATGGGGCCAGCCACTTTCCTCCAGGAACAGCTGGGGTTCGCAAACAACGAGGGCCACGCGCGACGCAAAGTGGGGGGGCCCAGCGGCCGCCTGAAAGCGCAGGTCTGGGCAACCCGCACTTCCTTGCTCCAACGCGCGATGGGAGACGCGGCCGCCCTCCATGTCGGATCGCCGTCCAAGATGGCGAGGGTCGCCAACGACCTCAGGTGGCTGGTCGGTCGCGCGACCGAGAAAACGCGCCGCCTCAGCAATCCAAGATCGCGATCGCTCGCGCCCGTGATTTCAGAGCCGCACGTGGCCCCCGCTAAGGGCCCAGCGCTATACACCTTAAGAATAACCGATCGCTTCAGCACCTTGGATTGCCGAACTAGCCGCCGAGCGGCGCGCGACGACTTCGCAATGCGGGACTTTAGCTTGGCCGAGCGGCCAGCGCGGACTGATCGTCCAGCTGTGTAGCCCACGCCTAAGTTCACTGCAGACTTACTAAGCCCGCCGCCAGGATGCACGAGGGCCTTCGAGACCTCAGCGCCGACGTGCTTGGAACTGCACGCCAAGAAGTTTTCCCCGGGGCAACGCTACAACCAAAAGACTCCTTGACCACAGAGTCCAGGACCAGCGCCGTTTTCACAATCTCAGAAATCACCTTGGCGGCAGGCCCCGTAGCAGAGAGACTCTGGTCGTCAATATACACGTCCAGGTCCACTTGGAGACCCGGAGAGGGGGGGGGGGATGGAGGCAATAACACTGGCATGTCCTTGCACACAGAAGACCCTCATGAAGGTCGTGGCCATCGAGCAGCCCGCAATGACTCCTGAATTGCAAAAATGAGGCCCCTTTCCAACCAACCCCCGAGGCTAAGGAACCGCCCGCGCTGGTAGGCGAAAGTGCACAATCTGGCTATCGCCCCCGGGAACCCATGGGTCTGACACCGTTCTTCCAACAACCCGAGGGAGATGTTCTCATAGAACTTAGACAGGTCAAAAAAAAAGACAGCGCAACTGGTTTGGCCTTTCAAAACACCACTTTCAGCCGTGACGGTTTGCCTCCAGACCACGTCGGCTGCCCCGCGAAACCTGCCAGCGGCCCAGTACCGACGGGAGCGTTCCACCTCCCAGTTCAAAGCCCAGGGCCGCCTGAGGCGCCCCCAAACTCTGAACCAGCAGATTTCGGGGGCAGCGCGAGGAGGCCAACAGAAATCTGGGGAGGAAGAATTCCCAGAGCCTCGACAACGTGGAAAAGATCGCCAAGGCAATCTAACGCCTCGCCGGTCATGAGGGAATAGCGTCGGCAATGGAAGCCGTCGACAGAGACAGCGGAGGCTTCCTTATAAGACCGCGACATGTCCCTGATCTCTTGAGGCGACAGCCTGGGAGGAACCTTCAAGATTTCTTCAGAGAAGTGACCCCCTTGACCGGCCCCCAGATAGAAGCGAACTTATCCCCCTCCGCCTTGAGAAGCGAGAGGGGGTCAGCCACAATGGAACCATCCACGGACAGGGTGCTGCTGGGGGCCCACGGATAGGGGCCCACGGAGAGGGGCCCACGGAGAGGGTGCTGCTACGAGCCCCCGAATAAATTCCATCGTTAAGCCACGCTCTCCATTCACTGCGGCCCTTGGCCGCGTACTTGACATCGGCGGCCTCGACGGCCTCGTGGACCTGAGTGCACATATCAGCACAAGAAAAGGCATCGCCCGAGGCGGCGACGCAAGCCGCCACACGGTCGAAGAGCTCGCAGTGGTCATCGCCAGCGTTGAAAATAACCATGGGGGGTTTGATGAGCTCAGCCCTCAGTCTACAAGTAGTAACAGAATGCATGTTGTCACGAGCCGAGTGGATGTAGGCTTTCAGCTGTTGACCGAGCCACCTGGTGGCCCTATGCCCGGGGAACGAACCTGGGAATCTCGAGCCAAGATCGATATCCAGAGAAGCTGGGGCCCAACCCCCCTGGCTCCGAACTTCAGAAGGGCACCCCCAACCCGTGGCGCGAGCTCACGCTCAGCGTGGTCAGCCCACGATCGGTACAAGGGACCCAACATGTCGACAGCAGCCTGCCCCTTGCCTTGCTGGGGAAGACCGATTGCGAGGTCGACCATGGACTGGGCCCCCAGCAGACCGAACGAGGACAGGGACCGAACGCTCCTTTGGCAGGCAGCGGGGGCGGCCTGCGAAAAGACAAAGCCTGCGCGCGCCTAATTTGGGGGAAAAAAAACCTCGGACGATGGGGGGGGGGGCTCCGTATCCAAGCACGCGTCGATCCTCCCAATGCCCTTGGACAGGCCCGCACACACCACAAAGTAGTCAAAGGTCGCGGGGGCCCCGACAGGGTAGCGGGTGCACTCTTTGGGGAAAACCAGGGACACGCGAAGCTCGGCGACAAACGAGGGGCCTTCGATGACGCGAGGCTCCATGTTAAAGTCGGCGCCCAAGAGCCACGAGCAGTGCCGCTGCGAGAGCAGCGCGCCGATGTCCGAGAGCAGCCTGGGGTTCCTGCCGGAGAGGCCCTCAGCGTGATAGAGGTAGGCCGAGAACACCGTGAAAGGGGGGGGGGCAGGAATTTCCACCGAGCAGGCCAAGGCGCGGCCTTCCAAGATGCCCCCCCCCTCTCCGGGGACGTGGAGGCAGCCCATCCAGGAACGACAGAGCACGGCCACACCACCAGAAGTGTCGTCCGCCTCAGCGGCGGAAGCCCTGGACCACACCGACTTCCAACCGCGGCGGAGGCACCGGGCGTTCGCCTGTTGAATATATTCCAAGTCGCGGAACCGATGCTCTTGGAGGAGCAAGACATGGGCGTCGGACCATGCGTGCGCAGCGTGCCCTAATACTTCCAGCTGACGGTCTGAACCTCGAGCGCCACGGAACTCATATTCTGAAAACTGCCGCTGGAGGAAACTTTGTGAAACGAACCAGGCCGCGGGCCAGCCAGCGGCAGAGCCACGGAGGCGGTGCGACAAGGAGCATCATTGCCCGACGACATCACAGGATAGCTAACCGAAGGCCTGGCAAAACTGACAGGAGCATGCTGCTTACGGAAAGACACCGAGCCGAGCGAGGGGCCGTGACTCTGGGACATGGCAATGTCGTTCGCTCGAATGAGCAAAAGCTTCCACCCGTGACTTGGAACGCCCAACTGAAAAGAAATATCATCGGCGAAGAGACGGGGCAATCCCCGCATCCTGCAGGGCAGCACGCGAGCCGCGTCGGCTGGTCGGGCTTGGCCCGCAAGAGCGCTCGCCTCTAAAAATCGACATGTGAAGTCCAATCCGCCCGAAGAACATGGCAGAGACAAACGTGGCCCAGATTCATGGGCACCGAGCGGCGAGCCAGGACGCCCCAGAACCAGAAGCCGCGCCAGGCCTTTTCACGCCCGTTCTCCAGGGGGGGCGGCGTCGGGCGGCCGCGGCGCCTTCCCTCCGCCCGCTGCGATGCGATCAGCCCGCTCCTCGACGCTGCCCAGCGGGCGCGCGCTGGCGCCAGGCTCAGAAGAAGCGCCCGCTGTTGCCGATGGAGTAGATGGCGCCTCGGCAGCCGCAGCAGCTGCACTCGCAGCACCAGTAGGTTCCCCACCAGCTGGTTCTTTGGAGTCTGGAGAACCCCCCCTCTGCTTCTGGAGCCTGTCCACCAAGCCAGCGTGCTCCAGCTTAGCCGCGTCCATTTTGGCTTTGGCCTCAGAAAAAATATTGGCCAGATCCGCGGAGCCGTCTTTGAGCTGGCCCGCGCGCTTGGGGAGCTGCTCCGCATCCTCAGTCCCGAGCCCGGTGTCACCGTCCAATTTGAACATGTTGCCGAAGTCGATGTCGAAGAACTTCTCGAGCTTAGCCTGGTCGAAGAGCACCTCTGCAGGCAGCTGGGGGACCGATGGCTCCTCAGGAGGCTTCTCTGCCAGGAGCCGTACCAATCTAGAATGCTCCTCGTTGGCCTCCGCGCGTTCGCTCCTGAACTGCACCACAAGCTGCTGCTGTGCATCAAACTGCGCCTGGAGAGACTCGTTCTTGGCGCAGGCCTGCACGAGCCTGCTCTCAATGTGACGAGCCCGTCCATGAGCACGCTGGAGCCGCACTTGCAGTGGTTCGACCGAAGGAGCTGGAACTTCGAGAGCCTTGGCGGACTGGCGATACAAGGATGCACCACGGGCGCCGCCTGCCTTCTCGCACAGATCCGCACGCTGCTTGTATTCTTGAATACTGAGGGGGGCGCTGCACCTGGGAGAGGGCCGTCTTTGCCTCCGCCCTTCCCAGCGCTGGCTGCACCCTTCCTTTTAGCACCTGATCCGCCAGCACCACCGTCGGCTCCTCCATGCGAAGGCGGGGGGCCGTTCGCCCACGAGGACGAGCGGTCGACCATGGCCTCGCCCTTGAGGGCCCCGCAGCGCTTGCAGAAATAGAACCGAGCCTCGTTACGTGCGCAACCACAGTGACCGTACTTCCCCTTCTGGCCCTTGGACTTGCCACGAACCCCGACGAACTGCCAGCTGCTATCGCTGTCGTCAGGAGTCTGAAGACCAGGGCGAAGAGGAGGCCAAGCACGCACATCTTGAGGGCTCCAAGCTGGATCTGCCGTCGTCGGCGAGCTCCAGCCACGGTGCCACGGCGCCCAGGGAATCTTGCCCTTGCCACCGTCGCCACCTTTGCCAGAACCGCCTCCTTTGCCACCCATGGTTCAGAATTACCTTGCCCTCGCGGGCTAATATGGAGAGGGGTCGTCCCTCGAACGCAGAAGAGCCAACTTGGCCCGCAACAGCACAATGCCGTTCTGAAGAAGCATGCTGATGCAAGCTCAGGGGGAACCTGAGCCAGAACGGCTTGAGCCAAAATGTCTCGAGCGAAACGGCAGTGTTTCAGAACATGTTCCTGACATGGGCGGGAAACGCGTGAAATCGAAGAGCTTGGCAAGAACGTGCACCAACAGTGAGATCAACTGGAACATTGGCGCTCCTTCCCGAACGTTCACAAGGCCTTCCAGAGCTTCAAGACAGCCCCAAGATACCCCAACAGAGCCCCAATAATGGCCTAGGAGATCTCGAATGCGGCCCCAAGAGCGCCTAATAGCGCTCCAAGAGCTCGCAAAGCCGTCTCTGGACAAAACGGACATGGATGTCCAAATTGTCCGAACTGCCGGTTACAGGACTCCGATGGCCTTCCGAACCTTCAAGACGGCTCCCCGAACTCCTCGGACAAAACGGAGATGTCAAATTGATCCGCCGCCGCCCGCAGGAATTCGAGAACCTTTCGAGGCTTCAAGATACCGCCCCCAATCGTCTCAAGGCAAAACTGACATGGATATTAAGCATATCCTGGTCGCCGTGGGAAGGACTCAGAAGGCATTCCCGGCCTTCAAGGGGGCTCCAACATCACCCAAGAAAGGTCCAAGGAGGGACCCCAGGGACCTCCAACACGGCCCCAAGAGCGACTCCGGGCGCTCCCAGAGCGTCTCCGGCTGTCTCAGGACAACATGGACATGGATGTCCGAAGTGTCTTGTCCGCCGCCAGTCGGAATTCGATCGCCTTCGGGGGCTTCAAGATACCGCCCAAGCAGACAAAACGGACATGGATGTTAAAATTGTCGGGGCTGCCGTGGGGAGGATTCCGACGGCACTTCTAACCTTCAAGGTGGCTGCAAGGTTACCGAGGAGAGGCCCAGACAAAGATCCCAGAGATTCCCCACACGGGCGCACGAGCGACGCCGAGCGCTCCAAGAGCGCCTCCAGCCGTCTCTTGGTAAAACGGGCATGGATGTCCAAAGTGTCCAGGTCGCCGAGCAGCATTCACATCATCATCATCATCATCATCATCATCATCATCATCATCATCATCATCATCATCATCATCATCATCACCATCAAAAGAAACTTCCTCATCAAAGTAGGGCGTTATCGAAGCCCGTCCATGGGCACGTTTGGGGATGCCTCGAGCGAGACGCTTACCCGCTTGGGGTCCTCCGAGAGCACCCCCAAAAGATACTCAGAACAGCTGTTTGAACAGTTCATTTCAGTGAAATCTCGACTAGTCGTCGTTTTCGAAGATCCGAAAGTTCCGCAAGGACTATCAACATCTAGCTTGAAGTTGAGAGTGTATCCAGCGAGAGTCTCTTATTTTGGCATCGGTGGTTTGAACCTGATGTTTCAACATCCAGCTGTTTCGAGGATGTCTCACGCGAAAACTCCCGAGGATATCTCAGGCTCGCGCTCCGTTTGCAAAGATGTGTAGATGTCGCCAGCGATTCGAAGATCCCCACTTTACGGTCTCAGGCGGATCTTTCATCTCGAGCATCGAACGTATGGAATGGCATCAGCATCAGCAGCATGAACAACGCCATCATGGCAATAATCTTCCTAATACAATGGCTGTGTCGAAGACCCCTCCGAAGGCACTATTCGAGGATGCCTCGGATGAAACATTTACGTTTGAACACACGTGTTGCCAAACTATGGGGTCTCCAATGGGTTCGCCTCTTGAGCCGTCCTGGAGGGACTTCCAAGAGCGTCCTAAAAGAAGTCGGCATTTGCTTATGCACTCGTCTTGAAACACTTCGGTAACGATATCAAAGCGATTTTGGGAGCACACAAATTCTGTGAGGATGACCCTAGCGAAATGGCCACTGTTAGAAATGACGTCGAACATGCAAGAACATTGATCTGCCGTGCTCCTCCTCATGTTCTGAAGATGTCTCGAGCAAGAGGGTCGTTCTCAACATACAGCAAAGTAGACCACTCCTGCCGACATGTATTTTTTTCCCGGCGAGCGTGTCTCAGGCGAAAAGCGCATTCCCGAACATCTGGAAAATTAGTAACTTCCCACATCAGGAGGATGTCTCAGGCGAAACGCTTGTTTCCCAAAGAGCTGTTGCTGGTAAAATCTTGGTTTGGTGAGGATGTCCCTGGCGAAATCGTCATCCTCGGTCGTCTTGAAAGCGTTATTTGAGTCATCGTGGGCTTCGTTTCATCAAGAAACAATGCAATGCGATGTTGGACACATAAGTGTTCTAAATATGTCACTCGCGAAATTGCCGCGTTTAGAAAGCTGGTTTGGGTTGTTTTGACGCCTTTGCGATGGCGATTCCAATACGATGTTCTAACATTATTTTTCAAAACCATGATATTGCAAATGTCCCGGGCGATATCATGATGTTCAGCAGTCCTCAGGACGCTCTTGGAGCCATATTGGGGTCCTTGCGGGGGGCTATTGTTTCATCGTCTTGGAGCACTTCAACAAAGATATCCACGCGACGTTGGGAGCACATCGTTTTTTGAGGATCCCCCCCCCGCACGAAACGGGTCCTAATCTGCCATACCGGTCGTGTTGGTTTGCCGTGCTCCTGCTCATTTCCTGAAGCTAGCGAAACCGTCCCTTTGCGAACATCTCAGTTGTGTGGGGACTTCCCAGGCGACATGCAAACAAACAAATCCGCCAACGAAACATCCCATGCGATCAGCCACCCATGTTCCGCGGCGCGCGCGGGGATCTTCCATAAATTCTTACATATACAATTTCAGCCACAACGTCCAACTCGCTTCCCGTACCTCGAAGACGCGTCCCGTCATCTGCCAGCGAATTCCTAAGTGCGGCCCAAGGCCACTGGCAAAGGAAAAACTAAGCATGACGCATAACAGCGGTCCACGCCAGAGGTTTTTTTGGAAGACGCAACCCCACTCTAAGAGGTCTCGCGAGCTCCCACATAGCCCGCCACAGGACCGACTAGCGCGCGCGCGCGTCCGCAGACGTCACATACGAGGCTACCACCAACTGGTGGAAGGCCCGCGCGACAGAACACGGCCCTCTGGCCGCGCGCTGGTGGCAGGCCGTGGATTCAAACGGTGCAACGCGCAGCGTGCAGGACAAGAACAGTGCAGTGCCACAAGAGCCGCCCCTACCAGCAGATGCGAAGTCGGCAACGCTCGAAGTGGGATGCGCAGAGGCGGCAGGCAGTCAGGTCGACCACCAGCCTGCGGCTGCAGGCCGAGCCAAACTCAAAGTCACCAAGCAGCGGGTCTACGAATTGAGACAGAGAAGACAAGCACAAGCGTTGGAAAACACAAAACTGAACAAACTGATGGTCGGTGCATCACTTGGCACGGCTGGAGCGTGGGACGTCGCGGGTCGCCGTAGCCCACGGAGTCAACTGTCCGCTCACGCGCACCCTGAGATCACTGAGCTGTGAGCCGTAGTCCGCCGCGAACCAGCGCAGGTTGACCGAATTGAAGCCGCACCGCCGAGACGAGTAAGTGTCCCATATTTGCCACCTTGTGAACGCGATGCGTGCCTTCCGATACAGTGTAGACCTCGCTCGTGAAAATGGTCTAGAGATTCACGTCGTCGAGGAAGCACTTAGTACGCGCCGACAAGCGCCGCTTAGCAGGTACAATCACCGCGGGAACAAGAGTAGAATTCATCTGCAAATAACTCGAGCCAAACGTCCGCACTGGGGCACCACCGTGGTGGGTACATTGTCCCACGTGGCAAGAAACGTTAAACACCGTCCCGTGCGCCAGAGCCCATCCGTTCGTTTGTGTCGCACCGTAAGATGGATCCACTGAGCTTAGCTTTGCCACAACGTCCTGGCCTTCCGAAAGTAGGGCCCTGACCCATGGCCACCCCTTGGCGGCCAGGGGCCGGCTGGCGCGGTGATAGCTCCTCATGCTGTGCACTGGCTCGCTCCCGTCATGAGTGACATCCGACGAAACGGAGCTCCACGGTGGTCGTGCCGCCACCGAACGCTCGGCCCTCCAGCGTTGGGTATTTCGGCTAACGATGGCGATAAGAAGAGAAGCGAAACACAACATGTCCCGCCATCGACTGAGAATCATGCTGCGCGGGGGCTTTGGACCCCGCTGACACGAGAAACAAACGCCACAATCGCTCGAGCCAGGGCCTTCCAGAGGTGCTTCCCGTCATCCACCACCGGGCCCCCATGCCGTGTTGAGACGTGGTAGAATGCCAACAGCTGTCAGGCAGGATTTCGAGTTCTAATGAAGCCCCCCCCCTCTCCCCTACTCGCAGACTGGGCGGCATCGCCCCTACTTTCGATGCCACGATCCGTCGAAAACAACTATAGGTCCACGTTCCCGAGATCACGATCCTTCGTGAAAAACATGGGTCGGCGCCCAACGCTTCCAACAAGGCACAGGCAGGCAACCAATATGGCCCCAGATGCCTCGAAGACGGCCCAAGATGGCCCCAAGCCGCCCACTATGGCTTGAAGACGGCCCACGATGCCTTCGAGAGAGCCACAAGAGGACCTCCAACAGTGACCAAAGAAACCTAGGCATGATTCTCGCAGTCTCGCCTTTGCTGGCTGCCGTCAGCTCGATGGCTCCACGATGGCTCCAAGACGGCCCAAAAGGCACCCAAGAGGGTCCCAAGATGGCCCAAGATGACCCAACAGTAGCTCAACCCAAGCGGCATCCAATACATCTCCAAGCCAACCCAACAGGGCTTCCCGTAGGATCCCAAACTAACCTTAGAGGGCCCTTTGACGGCCCAAGACAGCCCCCAGTACCATACGGCCAGGAGGGCTTAAGACGGCCCAAGAGAGCCCCAAGACGGCGTAAGAAGGCCCCAAGATGGCTCACGAAGCCTCTAACGCAATCCCAAGATGGCCCGAGTTGACAAAACTTCCTCTGTCTACTCCGTCTCCACCTCCTCCTCCTCCGGCCTATAATCCTCCTCATCATCATGGCTCTCCCAAGCCTGGAGACACGAGCTGTCACACGTGACGGCATCCAGTACCCCCTCGAACAGTCGCCACATAATGCTGGGCTGGCACGGTTGTGGGACTTGCCGCAGGCAGCTGTATAGCACTATGATTATGACCAAGACTGCAAGACTGCTGAACGCGGAAACGAAGGTGCTGATCTTGGTGGCCGTCCATCTTGGTTATCGTCAATGCGTGGATCGTTCTCGCGAATCGAAGACAGATGGAATGAACCAGGACCACAACGTGCACTGACAGTATCCGCGACATCTTGGTCGTGGCCACCAAGCTTCGTCTCTCGAGCTTATCCCGTGGTTTTCCTTCGCTACTCGGGAGAATGCACGGTGGAACTCTGCCGAGCGACCGTGGGAGGGACTCGATGTGTACACCACGTCGCTTGGTCGGCCAAGGAGCTCGGTGTGTAATTAGACGCCCCAGTTTCCAGACCTGTTGGGCGCTGGAGCGCCCATGCACACCGGATTCCTTCGCCGAGCTCCCTGCCTCCTTGGCCGACCCAACGACGTCAGATTGTGGATGAGTCCTCCTCCCCGTACCGCTCGTTACGGGGGTCGGCGGCGCGCAAAGGGGGACAGGGGGGAGGGGGGAAGGCTTCTTAGAGGCACCCCGCTTCTTAGAAGGCCCCGGCCTTACGTCGATAGGGAAGGCCAGCGCCTTCTAAGAAGCAGGGGTGCTTCGAAGAAGCCTTCCCCCCTCCCCCTGCCCGCCTCAGCGCGTGGCCGAGGGGGGACAGGGGCCGGGGGGGGTGGTCGGGGCTGCGAGCGGCCACAGCATGCTTGTGAGCACCAAGGCATGCCCTTCCACACCGCACCATGCCGTGGACCACCGCGCCATATGCCTGTGGGGGAACGCCCCCCCCCCTCCCCCCGGCGCACGGGAGTGGGGGGGATGTGCGCTCCTCCGCGGAATTCTCTAGAGGCCTCCTAGATGGGGACGGAGTAGATGTGTTCGGAGGAGCGCACTGCATCGCCGATACATCGGCGATGCATCGGCGATGCAACGGCGATGCGCCGTCGATGCATCGACGACGTGAGCGTTCCATTGGCGACGTCGGTGCGGGGAAACGCGTGCTCCACATCGAGCCGCATCGTCGGTGCATCGGCGATGCGGCGCGATCCTCCGACCCCATCCACTCGGACCCCATCTGGGAGGCCTGGACTCTCTTGAGATGGCCCTGGGGCCCTTGCCGGCCCCGGGGAACCCTCAGAAAACGACCTGGGGCGAAAAAGCGGTCCCTGGGAAGGGCCGGGAAGGGGTCCAGACCTCTGGGGAGCCGCGCTGCAAAGAGAACACGCCGTTGGATGTCAGGAACGGGTCAAGTGCTCTGGGGATCCCATGCTGAAGAAGTCATGGTGTCGGAGGTCTGGGAGCTGGTGTGCACCTGGCTTGCTGGGGTGCCCTCTTGAACGCCCCCGTCACATCAACTACCGCACTGCAGAAGCCGCTCTCTGTTGGCGGCGACGCGGCAAGGGCCCCCCTCCGTCGCCACAAGCAGGCAGCAGCTGGGCGACGCCTGCAACAGCCTGTATCCTCACAACAGGCGAGCTGCGAAGGATGGGAGACAAAGGACAGCTGACCAACACGGCTGCACGCAAGAGTGACCTGCGCAAGAGCGACCTATGGTGCGCGGCCCAAGGAGGGGGCCCCTTTAGGGACACCGCCAGGCGCGAAAGCCGCTGCTATCGCATCAGCGCTCACCGAAGAGCCCGGTGCTAGCGGACGTCCACCAAGCGCAGGGCGGAGGGCGAGGGCTCCCGCGACGGCCCCGCTGTCGCCACGCCGCTCGCAAGCTGGCCAGGCGTGCGGGCCAGCCCAGCGGGCCCGGGCAGCTCCGAGGACGAGCAAGTGTATGCCACATAGAAGCCGAGGGAGTCCATGTACTTTTCGGAGTGGCCGTACAGGCCCACCAGCCACGCGCTCTCGGGAAGGCGTCCGGTCGCGTTCAAGACGGCCTCCTTAAAGTTCACCGTCTTCGTGTAGCTCCCGCCAGGGCCTCCGACGATGTGCTCCATGCCGTCGTCCGTCCAGAAGTGCACGTTGTCGATGTACTTCTCGTACCTCAGGTCGACGGCGACGATTCTCTGGTCCTCCGAAAAGGTCAGCGTGCCTGTCACGCCACCTGTCCCGCCATGCGGTTGCAGGGCCCACTTGGTATCGCCCAGACCCAGCTCAAGCTGGATACTGTCCACCCAGCGGTGGCTGCCGTATGTGATCTGCGACACCCGAAGGCCTGAGAACAGCCCGTTGAGCTCAACCCACTTGGCGGAGTCGTCGAAAGGCACGCCGTTGGGGCCACCTCCGCCCCAGACCTTGGCGAGGCAGGTCTTGTCGTCAGCTGTCGCCTCGGTGTCGTTCGTGACCTCCGTGCAGCTGTGAACACTCCCCTCCTTTAGCAGCTTCTCTGGGCAGTACTCCTTCAGGGCCCTTTCCATGTTCCTTCTCGTGGCGTCGAGCTTCGTCGCGCTCGACTGGTTCGGGAAATTCCGCCCCCGTGCCCACGAGGCACGAGCTGGAGTGTCCTCAGGTCCTCGGCCTGAGCCATCCCGCCTCGGTCCTCAATCCTGAAGACTTTTTGTAAAAAAGGGCCCGGACCCAAACTTGCCAAACCTCCTGGGGCTTGTCACGTGGCCCCAGGCGCCTGGGGCGTCTTGTCGCAGGACTCCTTCGGGCCGAAGGGGGCCCCAAGCCGGGCCGAGAGGATCCCGAGATGCCCCGAATCACCAATCAATCGGCCCCAGACGCCCCCAAGATGGCCTCCAGTCGGCAGAAGCTCGCAACAAATGCCAAGTGGCCTCTAAGAGCCTTCCCAAGAGGGTCCCGAGAGGTCAACATCATTGATTTTCTGCAGGTGTTCAATGCTTTTTGAATTCTCCACCTTTCGAGCTCCCGACGCCCGAAGACGTCCCAAGCGGCCCTGAGACCGCCCCAAGACGCCCCCAGTTGGCCGCAAGACGGCCCAACAGAGCCCCAGGACGGCCCCACGAGGGGCCCAAGAGGGGGAGCACGAACCGAAAGTCCGAGCCTTCCGCCCCATGAGGCACCCAGGAGGCCTCAAGAGGCCCCTGGAAAGCCCCCAGGGGGCCCCAAGCGGCTCCCAAGAGGCCCCCGAGAGGCTCCCAAGAGGCCCCACACCTGTCGCCAAGAGGCCCCCGAGAGCACTCCGAGAAAAGCCCAAGAAGCATCCCTCAGGACTCCGACCCACAACCCAAGCACGATGTCGGGGTGGGCCGAAGGCCATTTGATAAGTGCCGTGAATACCTCGCTCAGTGGTTTGAGCTTCATCGAGGTGGGTACTGGCTTTCTCGTAAGCGTTGCCGCTAGCCAATCCTCAGGGTCCCACTTTGCTGGCGTTGCCCCCAGCGAGTACTTCAAGGTATCAGTGCTAAACTGCTCGAAGTGGTTTGCAGACGACATGTCGACTCCACTCGCGATGCTCATATTGACAGAAACCATAAAAGAAGCCTGCGCCATTATTGACCAGTTGCGATTCGCTGCCGTCATTTCGTTGTACTGGTCGTGTGTGAAATGGCTCTCCTCGCCGTACATACTACCCATTTGAGCACTTGACAGAACATGCGTTCCAAAACTTCCGATAAGTCCGAAGTAGAAGTCCTGATCGTAGTCTTCTGGAGCCGCATGCACGGCCGCCAAGAAGTTATCGTCGAAAGGCGGGGGCTTGAACGTGTGGAGGAACGCCTCGTATGCGCAGCAGTAGGCAGTCACAGTGGTGTAGACGCTATCGTGAGTCTCGAAGTCCTCCCTGACACGGTTGTAGTCCCCAGACGCCGAAAATTTGGCGATATCTCCGAACCCGACGTCCACATAAACGCTCATTGAGAGGAAGTTGTAATAGTCCTCCAGGCTCTTGATCGACTTCGTCGTCGAGAGCAGGGAGCACGATGATTCGCACATCAGCGCGGAGATCCCGTCGGGAACCGCTGTGCCGTCCGGCAACAAATTGCTGCGGGCGTGGTCCTCCTTGAACACCTTGCCCCGGAAGCCCGTGTCGACGTCGCCGTTCGTGGGCTTCGGGTTCCCGAAGAAGATGTCGTAGCCGCTCAGGAGGTACTCGAGGTTGCTGAGGCGGTTCAAACCACCTCTGCGGAACAAGATCAGCGCAAACAGCAGTTGTCGGAGCTCCGCGCAGAATTCTCGGATCGGCTCTGGACCCCTTCCACTGCGCGAGGAGCGCGCCAGGCGGGCCCAGCGACGGTTCAAGAAATCTCTGCGAGGATCTCCGAATTGGCTACGTCCGCGCGTATGGGTTCGTATGTGATGCCTGTCAGGCGGCGTGGCTCGCTGGCAGCATGGCGGATGCAGCTGGCAAGGCTTGGGGCTGCCGGAGGCACCCCTGGGCCCGGCCTCCACGGCCCCTGCTGGCGGCGCGCGCAAGGGGGTAGGGGGACGGGGGGAAGGCGTCTTAGAAACACCCCTGCTTCTTCGAAGGTGCGGGCCTCACGTCTGTAGACGAGGCCCGCGCCTTCTGAGAAGCAGGGGTGCGTCTAAGAAGCCCTTCCTCTCTCCCCCTAGCCTTCGGTGGCAACTCATGGGAGCCTCCCATACCATCTTGTCGGCTCTTGCGAATCGACGCTAATCGACTCTAGTCGACGCTAATCGACGCTAAATCGACGCTAACCGACGCTAGCTGACGCTAAATCGGCGTTCTCTCATCGACCCCCAGACGCTAATCGACGCTAGCCGACGCTAAAGACGGAATTGAAAGGGTACACCAGGCTCCCATGACTTGCTACCGAACTACCCCCTTGTGCGCGTGGCCGACCCTGAGGGGCCCAGCAGCTCTCCTGCCCTCACGGGCCCCGGGCCCCCGCTCCGGGCCTTATCCTGCCTTTCGGGCCACGGCACGGCACGGCACGGGCCTGTCCTGCCCTCGGGGGGGACGTGAAGGTGGGGTTTGCGGCAGAGGGTGGGAATACGTAGGGGAAGGTCGCCCTGCACAGCCCCTGGAAGAGGGAGCCGTGAGCATGCGGCTGGGGCCCTTTCCTGACCCAGCCTCGGCATACACCCCCTTTCTGCGAGCGTCCGACGCTCTCACGGCGCTGCACGCTGCCGGCGCAGACCTTCCGATCCCGAGCGACTTCGCGCCCAGAGCTCCCCGAGAGGCCGCCCCACCAAGCACGGGCCTCCAGGGGGCGTTCCAGGCTGGAACGCCCGCGGCAGCTGCCGGGCGGGAAAAGGCACACACACACACACACGCATCCTTACGAATGTGCAGATCCACGGCCTTGCGATCCAGGATGCGGTCCCAGGAGGTGCGGGCCGGCCCTTCCTGGCTGCCCCATGCGCGGGCCCTATGCCGAGACGCCCGCCGGGGTGGCTGTTTTTCCATCCGCGGCCCCAGGGGTCTCTCGACCCTTTCTCCGGGGGCATTGTTTTGCCCCGGATTCGTCTTCGAGGGTCCCGGGGCCCGAAGACGGCACCCGAGGGCAGACATCAACCGAAAGCGTTGCAAAGTCGAGTCGTATCGCCAGAGACGGGGGTGGAGCGCGTCCGTGGGACTGCGCATCCGTGGGATCGCGCCCTGGAGTCCAGGCCGAGATGGCATGGATCTGGAGTTTGATCGTCGCTCGTGGCCCGCCGAGCCGAGGCGGTGCGAGTATGTGGCCATCATGCTGCCGTAGGGAAGGCTGAATCAGGTGCGAACGACCTGTTCCGGCAACGGCGAGCCCCAGCCACGAATACGATACACATCGATGGCGAGGACGCAAGGTCAGGAAAGGATGCAAGGCACTTGGGCCGTGCAAGGTGGACGCCCCTGGATGCCGAAACTGGCCAGACGGATTGGCCTGGGAGGCAAAGATGCAGGGGTGCCCTTGCGGCACTACCGCGTCCCAGACCCAGATCCGAGGGACCCCCAGGAAAACGCAGGCCCCTCCTGAGCCCGAAGCCGTCCACCCTCCTCCTCCTCCTCCTCCTCTCCTCCTCCTCCTCCTCCCCCTCCTCCTCCTCCTCCTCCTCCTCCTCCTCCTCCTCCTCCTCCTCCTCCTCCCCCTCCTCCTCCCTCCTCCCCCTCCCCCCCTCCTCCTCCTCCTCCTCCTCCTCCTCCTCCTCCTCCTCCTCCTCCTCCTCTCCTCCTCCTCCTCCTCCTCCTCCTCCTCCTCCTCCTCCCTCCTCCTCCTCCTCATCCCCCTCCTCCTCCCCCCCCTCCTCTTGACTGCTTCACTGCCCACCGTGGGGAGGGGAGGCCTCGACGCCCCAGCCCTCCCCCCCCCACCCAAAAGAGGCGCCCCGCGCCGCGGGGAGGCGAGGCGCGGCTGCCCGGGCATCCAGCGCAGTGAGGATGCAGTCAACCCGCATCCTAAGGATGCGCGATAAGGGGTGCGGGGGGCCACACGCGATATCCATATCCTAAGGATGCAGTCAACCCATATCCTAAGGATGCAGTCAACCCATATCCTAAGGATCCTCGGAGGCACACGCGAGCGTGTCTCGAACGAGGCTGGCCAGCGAGAGTCGCCGAGGGGGGACCGACCGGGGCAAGGACGCAGCGGTGCCTTTGGGAAGGCTGCCCATCCTAACTGTGCGGGTGGACTGTGCTAAAACAGGTGTGTTTCACCAATTTTGGCCTCCAGGTGCCCTGGCTGGGCCCAGGGACCGCCAACAAACGGCGGAGAATGAAACGCTGGCCTTGGGGAACAAGTCTGGACTTCCAGGGACCCCGTGTTTGAAAGATCAAGACATCGGATCTCTGGGTGTTCCCTGGGATCCGACGGCGCGGACAAAACTGCAACATCGTGAAAAAACACGGCCAGGAGGCCTCAGACCCATTCTTTCTGCGGCATTTCTCGAGCCATAGCGACCTGCGAGGGCCCTGGGGACCCGAAGCAGCGCCAGAACACCCGGAGCACGGAAAAATGGCGACGCCCAGGACTCGAGGAACCTGGGCATGCTGGGGCCAGCCAGGACTAGCTCGGGGGGACGTCTGCCCAGAGAGCCAGCGAATTGACTTGCTCAATCCGCGGCCCCATTGCAGAGCTCCGGATTGCCCCCACGGGGGCAGTACAGTCGGACCTAGGACAGAAGAACATCCTCCAAGAACATGAGACCCTTCGCGGCCAAAACACACACACACACAGAACATCAAAGGGCAGCCTCTTCAGGATGCACGAGAACATCCAACATACACGAAGCACATTGGGATACCCTCCCCGAACCGACCTCGATCTTATACCTCGGTCCGACTGCATCTCATCCTGGATCCGCTCACGATGGCTCCAGGGGCCCCCCCAAAGTGCCAAAGGGGCCCCCCGCAGGCCGCAGAGCTGCCGAGCAGCGCCGCGGGGCCGAAGGAGCCGAGTACCGCTGGCCGGCCCCGGCACGAAGGCCCCACGAAAGCCGCGCGCACCGGCCATCCACCTCCACCCTCCATGCCTGCCGACCTCCGCGGAAGGTGCGGAAGAACTCGTCAAAACTCACATCGATACGCCCTGGGCCGCGAACCAGTGCCACACGACTGGAGGAGGAGGAGGAGGAGGAGGAGGAGGAGGAGGAGGAGGAGGAGGAGGAGGAGGAGGAGGAGGAGGAGGAGGAGGAGGAGAGGAGGAGGAAGGAGGAGGAGGAGGATTCAGGAGGAGGAGGAGGAGAAGAAGGAATGGGAGGAGGAGAAGGAGGGGGAGGAGGAGGAGGAGGAGGAGGAGGAGGAGGAAACCCACATATATTATATCGAAGAAGGGGCGGAAGGCTATAGGGCCGAAGGTCCGGAAGACTGAGGGTGCGGGGGGGCGCTCCGTCCGCGCGCGGGCCTACCCTTCTCAGTGTCGGCGCGGCTCGCCCAGGCGGGCCGCTGGGCAACACGAGGGCCCGGGGGCCAAGAGGAGCCCCAGGCCTGGGCGAGATCGGCGCGTCTCCCCGAAACGCCAACTGCGGCATCCCGAAATGATCTCATTCCACCGAAGGACGACCAGCGCCAACATGGACGTCAGATCAGAGGCGGAGTAGCTCTGGCCAGGCTGGACAACGCAAAGAGCTTGGGCCCCCTTCGGGCCCGGACATGCGCCGATGCGAGGATTCCAATCCGCGGCACCAGGGCTGCCGACGGCTTCCCCAGGGCCAGTTTTTCGCCCCCGATCCGCCTGTCATAGCCCGAGGGCCCGATGAAGTGTCCCTGGAATCAAGGACCGCCGGAATTGGCAAAAACCAGATCGGCAAAGATCTGGTGATTCACCGTAAGAAGTAATCATCGACCCACCCCAGCATTCCCACACTCAAACGAATTAATGA